AAAAAAAAAAAAAAAAGAAGAAGATAGGTACAATGAGCCGTGGGGTCCTTGTCCCATACACCAAAACAAAAGGGGTCAGAGAACTGCCTCGAGCCGTGTGATACCCGGCTGCTGAGGAACCCATTGGCGACTGCCACTCAGGGGTGTTATGGCTTGCAGCTCTGTTCTGAGGGGTCAGCAGAATGCCTCTTCCCTTATCACATTACGGGAGGTGATGAGAAACTGTCTCCCAGGGGCATCAGGTGGTGGTGAGTGGCCTGTGTTCACCGACCACCGACATTCTCTCTCATTCTAGGAAGAGACAAGTGCGTCCGTCCCGACTCTGAGTAGCTGTAGACCTTTACCCTCATGGCTCCTGTGGCTGCAGGCAGGAGGCCAGGGTCCACATGGAGCTGTTCGCCGACATTGCTTTTGTCCACGATAGCCTTCGCTTGGAAAATGAATGTTTATGCTGTGAGCGTAAAGTACTTGTAACTACAAGCCACATCTTCGCCACATCTCACCGTCTATATTAACGCGCCTTTGCTATTCCACTGTTCTGGTTAGTATTACTTTACTTTTCCAGGCATTTTCTCGCCCAGGCAAATGGTTTCATTGTTCATTATAGAAACTTCCTGGAAGATCCAGTGACTCTTCAATGTGGCGAGCATCAAGAGGTCGTTTGCACCCTAAGAATCTTTGAATCGCTGCCTCCACTGCCTCACCTTGCTGTTCCTAGCCAATCCTGGAGGGTTGTATTGCCATCTGTCCCCAGTCCTGGTGCAGCCCCTGCTATGCAAAGCCTGCCTTGAACTGAACTTCTCAATAAATTCTGACCTTGCCTTCCTCTAAGATGCTGCCCGCAGCTCTGCCGAGGCGATGTTCTCCCTGACCGCCACCAGCAATAAACTCAGCTTTCTCTTCTCTGAAGGTCATGTTGCTGATATTTGGGAAGCCAGCGGGCGACCATGTAATTAAATCCACCTGTTTTCCCTTTATGACCTGGGTTTGATGATCTTATTTAAGATGTACTTCCCAATCTGCAGCACGATGATATTTTGAATATAGTCTCTTAGAAAATGTGCAAAGAGGGGCGCCAGGGTGGCTCAGTTGGTTGAGTGTCAGATCTTGGTGTCAGCTCAGGTCATGATCTCCAGTTTGTGAGTTTAAGCCCCACAATGGGCTTTGCGCTGACAGCTCGAATCCTGCTTGGGATTCTTTCTCTGTTTCTCTTTCTCTCTCTCTCTGTCTCTCTCTCTCTCGGAAATAAACAACAACAAAATTTAAAAAAAAGAAAATGTGCAAAGATATTCTCATACGTGATCTTCTATTAGCTTTATAGTTTCGACTTTCACAAACAGCACACGACAAAGAAGTCTGCCCCTCATTAGCAGGACAGAGTGTTGTTCAAATTGACCTCAGTTGTCAAAAGCTGTGCTAACACTCTAGCCACCAACCACACATGGCTATTTCACATTTAAGTTAATTAAATTAAATGAAAAATAAAAATTCAGTTCCTCAGTGGCACCTGCTACATGTCAGACGCTCAATGACCACACGTGGCTATTGGCTATGGGGCTGTGCTGGAAGATTCGGGACATTTCCACCGCAGCAGGAAATTCTGTCAGACAACCCTACTTTTAAGCTTTTTCCTTCAACAGAACCAGTGGGTTAACAAAGCTTTCAGTTCCTTGTTATAAACTTAGCTTATTAACATGGATTAAAACTTTTTATAGCACGTGGTACTTTTACACCTGGGTAGTTTGGTTTATAGTTTCCATTCAATTAAAGCAGTAAAAAGAGACTCACACTTTTAATTTTTCATTCTCAAAGAAAGGGTGCATAGGCTCATATTATTTTGGTGCCTCGATCCTTTCCCCTCTTTCCCCACCGAGTGTTCCCCAATGCTGCCTTGTCCTTGGGTCTGCAAGGGCAAATAGAGCCCATTTGGAGGAGGGATGACAGGGACACGCTGCCAGCAGCCAGGGTGGATGAGGGCTGCTTATCAGTGAGCAAAGCACTGGGTGTGTGTTGGGGGCTAGGGTTCAAATGCACCCTGGCTCAGCTGGGACATCTCCGTGAGACCTTGGACAAGTCACTGACCTGCTTTGCAGCTCAGTCTCCGCAAGAGGCTGGAGATGTGCTCCATGGTCCCTTCCCCATCAGATTAAGGGGCATGTCCGGACGATGCCACAGCATTGAGCAAATCAAGGCTCATGCAGTAAATGAAAAAAGCTGCCTGGCCTTCAGGGGACTCACAGTCTGTCTGGAGAGGAACGAAGAGTGTCCACAGTAGGGCAGTGACAGAACACAGCACAGGGTCAGGTACCGTTGTAAGCAGCCAGACACTGCATACAGGGAGTGGGCTGGTGGCTGTAGGCCAGAGTCCTCTGCACCAGCTTCTTGCAAGAGGACCCCCTTGGGGCCCGATGCCTGTGAGGCTAGTTGGGGAGCAGCTTTGGGAGGCATTCAGCATGGTTTGAGGCAGGACCAGCATGGCGGTCAGGACTAGGGCTATGGGGGGACCAGACACACTGGGGGCTAGAGACACGGGTGGGCACAGACTGTGGGGTCTTAATGCAAGCTGAGGCCTCTAACAGAGTCTAGAAGTCCAATTAATGAAGGGTAGCTGAGTGCTCACATTAGCTCCGTGGTGAGAGCATGTGGTCACAGACAGGAAGTGGCTGTAGACATCTCCTCCATCTTGTCCCCTCTGATCTGGGCCAGTGAGAGCTTGGGCTCCAGGCCTCCTGCTGATTTTCTTCAGAGATTCCAACTTCCCACCTCCTGCCTCTGCTGTTACTCTTCTCCTGGGGGCTCTCTGGGGCCTAGTTCCACAGCAGGACCAGAGCAGAGAGATCCAGGAACATGTGTGGCCTTGAGCAGACCAGGGTGTCCACTCATTTCAGGGAGGTGAGACAATCCTGTTTTACCAGAACAGGACTCTCTGAAGACTGAACATACCTAGGAAGAGCTAGGTTATAACCAACTGGGAAAGCCAGCCATATGAGTTCAGCACACACTCGGCCCCACACATGGTCGGTGTGCTGACCTTAGATAAACTCATCCCTTAAATGGCCGCGTTTGCTGTCCTTTGTGCCTCAATCAAACCAAGTTCTTAAAAAATACCTGTTGTTCATTTGAGACTTGTTTGATATTTTCTCTCATGGGGCTAGGGGTTTGGGAGGATACCACAGAGGGAAATGCCATTCTCATCAGATCATGGTGGCAGTACCTACGACCCACATGATTATCACGGTTGGTCTCAATCTCGATCACGGGGCTGAGATGGTGCTTGCCAGGTTTGTCCACTGCGAAGTTATTCTTTCCCTCTTTCCACGCTGTTCTTTTGGGAAGGAAGGCACCACAGACAGCCCACACTCAAGGGGTGGGGGTTATGCCCTCACCCCCCCCCCCACCCCCCCGCCAGCCTTGAGGACAGAGTATCTATATAAATTATTTGGAAGTCTTTTTTGGAATTCACTTGTCTGTAAATTTATTCAGTCATTCATTTATATCAATATGGACTCACGGATAGTTATTTTACACTTTACCACTTTATTTATCTCGTTGCTCAGTTCATTCCAACGTTGGCTGTCTTTTCTTCTGCATGTTTTACACACACATTTTTCATCTTTCACCCACTCAAGTTTTGTTCCAAACAATGTTGGTGGAGCGCCTATAGAGAATGAGAAGTGATGGAGCTGGTGCTGAGCCCCCCCCTCCTTGGACCCATCCCTTCTGCCTTCCCCTCTGATACCCATGCTCAGTGCTTCTCCTCCCCTGGCCCCCACCTTTCCCAGGGACCATCCTAATGATGAAACCCCAGGATGAAAACACATCATTGACTCCATGCCTGGGTATGGAGTCCCTGTCTTGCTCTGGGTACCAGGGGGATGCCATGGCCCCCTGACCACCTACAAGCAGTGCATGGAGAGAAAAAATAGAGGAATGGCCTCTTCATTCACTATGGTTCTCTTCTTGGGCATTCTCAGAGCGTTTTGCAGCAACAGTGGAGGAATGTGATGGGGTGGAAGGTGTGGCATGACAGACATGGGGAGAAGCTGGGCAAAAGACAGCCACTAAGGCAGGACTGAGGTCTCTAGGCCCAGAGACAGACCCTGCAGGTGGTGATCCCCTACTCAGGCCTGGCTGCTCCTCCCTCCCCTTTCCCCACAAAGCCTACCTGTCAGGGTACTCACTTCTCCAATCAAGGTGTTGGTCTTTCTCGGTTCTTCTGGCTCAGAGATGCTGGGAAGCTGGGGCAGAATCAGGCTTATGTTATGCTTCCTTCTCCCCAGAGGCGCCCCTTCTCTCATCTTCAGAAACAGACTGGGGTAGCATGGCTTGGGGAGCCCTACACCTGCTCCTGCCCACCTGTCCTGCTGTACTCCTGGCCTCAGGTGAGATGCAGGGCGTGAAGGTCAGGGTTGGGGCCAGGAGCAGGGTGGCTCTGTGACCAGAGGGCTGGCTGGGTGTCCTAGGAGGCAAGTCTATCCAGGAAGACCCTGTACCGTCGCGTGTCCTAGCCCTATCCCCTTGTTTCCCACCAGCTCAGGGGAGAAACTGCTCCCTTTTGAGCCCAGTGCCAGTCTAGACTTCAGCTGATTACAAAGATCCCAGGCATCAATTACCCTTGGCCTGAGGGACCCTAAAGAGCTAGCTGTGTCCCCTTTCCATTTCCTCTCAAGGTTTTTGAAGGCCAATAGTATTCTCTATTCTGGTTCCCTGAGCATTAATTACCTTCTTTGTGTCCTCCTTAGTTCTGATCACTTCTCCAGAGGGAACCTCTTACTCACCCTCTCTCAATGGCTCTGAGCTCAGATAGGCAAGGGTTTCACCAACACCAGAAGGGAGGGTCCTGGGAAGGGATGGCCCGATAGCTCATGCACATGTATCAGAGTCAGGAAAAGGGGACCCAAGTATTCTTTCCAAGGTGGTTGAAGCACAGGGTGCTACAGAGGAGTCCCCAAGGCTCAGATTCAAAATTGGGGAGAGAGGAATAAGGAGGAGGATACAGGTCATTAACTCTGAAAGAACTGTAGAAAATTCAGTTAGACATGGGATTTTTGGAATGAGATCAGTGGAACCCACATAATGTGGAAGCCAGAGGCTGTACTGGCATGCAAATGGTAGGTGTAGAAAGTGACCACAGACGGGCAGATGGTAGCCAGAAACAGCAAAAAAACAGGTGAGAAGAAATTTTTGATTTCTGCTCTTGACTCTTGCAGTCATGAGCTTTGAGACCATCATAACCTCCCCTTCATTGTAGAAGTAGGCTGAAAAAGCCTAGGTCACAGGTGCTCTAGGGGATCAAGTGGCCAGCAAAAGCAGTGGAGTATTGATGAAGATAGATGATCAACTGCCTATGGGCATTTGATCCCTAACCCCTTCATTCTCCAAACTCCAAGACAGGTGGGTTAGAAACTAAAGAGGATCTCCCAAAGTATTTAAAGGTGAAACCCTGGACAGAGGATAGGAATGGCAGCAATGTGGGTATACAAGGGGGTACCCTTGTGCTCTAGGGCTTACCTATCTCACTTTTTAAAAATGTTTATTTTTGAGAGAATGAGAGAGAGAGAGAGAAAAAGAGAGAGAGAGAGAGCACAAGCAGCAGAGGGGCAAAGAGAAAGAGGGACAGAGGATCCAAAGCAGGCTCTGTGCTGACAGCACAAAGCCCGACTCGGGGCTCCAACTCACGAACCGTGAGATCATGACCTGAGCTGAAGTCAGAGGCTCAACTGACTGAGCCACCCAGGCCCCCCCTCCCACTTTTAAAGTTTACTAGGTAGAAGGATTTAGCCTTCCGTTCTTCTACTATCACCAGACTGGGCATATGATCACCCCTGAGGAATCTGAATTCAAAAGTCAAAACAACTTGGTGTCTTAGGAGAACTACTACCTTGAAGAGTGACACCATACTAAACAAGAGAGACCATCCGAAGGAGAACTATGACAATTGACAGCACAATAATTCTAGGTAAATATTAGTGGTATGCCTAAAAGGGTAAGGGAAGACATAAATTACATGAATCAAGAGCAAGAACCATTAACACTGCTAAATTAAAATAATAGTTGTGAAAAATATTATGATTGAAATAAAGACCACAATATATGTGATATATAAAGAGCAGGAGCACCTGGGTGGCTGAGTCAGTTGAGCATCTGATTCTTGATTTGGGCTCAGGACATGATCCCAGGGTCGTGGGATCGATCCTGTGTCAGGCTCTGTGCTGAGCATGGAGTCTGCTTAAGAGTCTATCTTTCTTGGGGTGCCTGGGTGGCTCAGTCGGTTAAGCATCCAACTTTAGCTCAGGTCATGATCTGATAGTCTGTGACTTCAAGCCCCACGTCAGGCTCTGTGCTGACAGCTCAGTACCTGGAGCCTGCTTCCAATTCTGTGTCTCTCTCTCTCTGTCCCTCCCCTGCTCATGCTCTGTCTCTCTCTGTCTCAAAAATAAATAAAAAATATTAAAACAAAAAGAATCTATCTTTTTCTTCCTTTGCCCCTTTCCCCTGCTTGTGCTCTCTCTCTCTCTAAAATAAAAAATTTTTAAAAAATTAAAAAAAAAAGCAGATGTGGCTGGAGCATGAGCTGGAAGAAAAGTCAAGGAATTCTCCCAGAAAGTTCCTGTAAAGCATTAAGAGATTAAAGAATCAAAGAGAATCAAAGAGGAGTGAAGAGACATGAAACATCCAACATATGGTTACTAATAATCCCTGCGAAAGAAAAAAGATGGAAAGGAAGAAATATTTGAAGAAAAAGTCAATATAAATCTCTCAGAATTATAGAAAAAAGAAAGATCTCAGACCAAAAGGACTCAAAATTTGCCAAGAGGGGCAAATAGGAAACACATGCACACACACACAGCCCTAAACCCATCAAAGAACATCCCATCTTGTGTAAGAACATCAAAGACAAAGAGTAAATTATAAAGAATTTCAGATCACTGACAAAAGAGTGAGAATTAGATCTACATTAGACTTCTTAAGAGGAGCACTGGATGCCAGAAGAGAGTTGAGTAAAATTATTAAAGGACTGAAGAAAAGAAGTTTATACCTAGAATTTTATATCAAGCCAAACTGTCACTCAAATATGAGATCATAATACTTTGGGACTTTGACAGTATAATACTTTGGGCCTCAGAAAGTTTGCCACATGTGGGGAGCCTGGCTGGCTCAGTTGGTTGAGTGTCTGATTCTTTTTTTTTTTTTTTATGTTTATTTATTTG